GGCCGGGGTAATTCACCTTGCTTTAACTGGCCGGGTGTACGAATCCTTGCCTTAACTGGCCGGGGTAATTCACCTTGCTTTAACTGGCCGGGTGTCCAAGTCCTTGAAATGACCTTGAATTTCAAGGTCAAGGTCGTGGTCCAGGTCATATTCGGACGTAAAATTTTCCGTTCTTTCCAAATCCGTAATGAAAAATAGGGGTTCCAATTTAAAAAAAACAAGTTGACCTTGAAACGACCTTGAAGGTCAAGGTCAAGGTCAAATTCAAGGTCACCATCGGATAGCCAGGGAAAAATCCTAAAACTTTTGTATTTACCATTTTTCAAAAAAATTCAATCCAGACGAGTTATCCGAAGGTTTCCATACATTTGACTCACCCTGTATACCTGTGTTCCCTTTTGGGAGGTAGTGGGGAGGAGGGAAGGGGCGGAGGGAGGGAGAGGGGGAAAAAGTCAGCCAATCGGAGCGTTGTAGGCTGACTTATTAAAAAACCGGGAAGGCGGTGTGCCATATCGGGTTAACCTGGTAGCCTTTGACGCGGTTCAGGTTATCAGGGTGTTTCAAGATTTCAAGGCCTTCGCGGTGTTTTCGTGCGAAATAGCTGTGGGACGGGGCCAGCATGGTGGCTTTGTCGAATTGGACGGCATATCCGGTCTCAATCTTGTGTTTGGGTAGGGCTGATTGTGAGAAGTGGCCGTATTTGGTACTTCGCTGGTGTTCTTTGATCCGTGTACTGATCTTCCTCCCTGTTTCTCCTATGTACACTTTTCCGCAAGCGCATGGGATTTTGTAGACTCCTGGGGCTGCCAAATGGGGTCTCCGATCCTTAGGATTGGGGAGCATTTGAGTGAGTTAGTTGGGTGGTTTGAATATCACTTTTATGTTATGCTTGCTCAAGACTCTGCTGATGCGGTCCATCGTGCCTCGGAGGTGCGGGAGTACCACCGTCTTTTTCTTCTCTTTCTCTGCCTCTGGCATCCTGGTGTCGTTAAGGCTGGGTTCCGTGTTTGTCAGCTTCTGGATTGTACGGTTGATGTTTCTGCTACTGTATCCATTCCTTGTCAGGGCTCGGTGGAGATGGTTTAGTTTTCCGTCCAGGGCAGCTGGTTCCGAGATGGAGAGTGCTCTGTGGACTAAAGAGTTAATCACCGAGTTCTTTTGGGCGGGATGATGGTGGGAGTTTGCATGGAGGTATCGGTCCGTGTGTGTCGGTTTACGGTAGACGTTGTGGCCTAAGGTGCCATCCTCGTTCCTGCAGACCAATACATCTAGAAAGGGAATTTGGGAGTTCTGTTCAATCTCTATTGTGAATTGGATGTTAGGGTGCTGGGAGTTGATAAACGTGAGAAATTGAGGTAGGGTTTCCCTTCCGTGGTTCCAGATGACGAAGGTGTCGTCCACGTATCTGAACCACGTGGAGGGTTTTAGTGGAGCCTTCTTCAGGATTTCGTTCTTAAAGTGTTCCATGAAGATGTTCGCGATGATGGGTGATATGGGGGATCCCATTGCTGCTCCCGTGGTTTATTCGAAGAATTCTCCTTGGAACTGGAAATAAGTGGAAGTGAGGCACAGTGCTGTCCGAGAGCGGCCTTTGGTAGCACGGTCACATATGGAGGGAATGACGCACACAAGCGAGCGACCGTGTCCGTGTGCGCTCGCACTTCGGCCAGCTTCGGGCGGTAGAAGAGCGCAGACATACAATCTGCTGTCTGTTTCTTTCCCGCTATAGCTATAGGCTAATGCCGCCAGCCGCGAGAATCGTACTTGCTGCATGTATGTCTTTTTTCGTACATACAACGCAAGTAAATGTTTACGTGGATATATTTTATACGTAATAAGATAAAACAATTAAAGAAACAAAGAACAGAAAGAGCATAAATGATAAATGAATATTAGAAATCCACTCTTGGCCAACATGTATGTATGTCTTTTCCTTGCAAAAGTTCCGTTGTATTAAATTTGAAAAATAACTTATTGTTAGTACAATAAAAATGGAAATAAAAATTAAATTAAATGTTATTTGTGTTATAAAAATTATTCTGTTAATATACTTTGATAACAAATATAGTAAAATTAAAGGAGAAAAATTATTTTTGCAGTAATAGTTTTGGTGTTTTTCATTTTTACGAATGGACTATGTACATACATGTTGTTGCTCGACAGAAACCGCGAGAAGGTGGTGTGGTCTCTTCCGTCATGAAAATTTAAACAATTGTTAATTCGACAATTCAACAGTTAATTAATAAAAATATAATTAAAAAATAACGTTTTATAATTGTAATGCATGTTACAATTATATTGCATAGGAAAATATATATATACTCTCTATTACGAGACACGGTAGTGTCTCGCGCCAAGTGTAAGCGAAGCTAGTACACGCGCG